GGACACACACAGTAACTGCAAAAGAATGAGAGTCGGGCTCTAGCCGGTGTGGCTCAGTGGATAGTGTTGGCCTGTGAACTGAAGGGTCCCAGGTTCGATTCCAGTCAAAGGCACGAACCTCGGTTTCAGGCTCGATCCCTGCCCTGGTCATAGCATGTGTGGGAGGCAACCAGTCAATGTTTCTCTCTCTGTGTTTCCTCCCCTCCCTTCCACTCTCTCTAAAAATCAATAGGAAAATATCCTCAGGTGACGATTAACGGCAAGAGCAAAAATAGAATGAGGGTCAGGGACAATACAGCATTCAGTATGCAAACGTGACTTTTACACGTACACGTTTGCCCCTGCATCTGTTTGTGAACCCCTGTTATCCATGTGTCTATCTTCACGTGTGTCTAATCCACTGACGCAGCTGCAGCTGTGAAAGTATCTCAGGAATAAGCAAAACCAACGACAAATTGTCTCATTGCTTTAGGAAAGCACACGCCTTCTTTTCCTGTTTCAGACCAGCTGAAGCCAGTAAGTTCATGTTCTCAGGAATAGCCGTGATACAGCATTGACACGCTATTCCTTGTCCGACCTCCATGTAGTAACCAACGAACAAGCCCAGCCCTTACACACAAGGCCTGCTCGCTGTCCAGCCGGAGAAAGATCTTCTCTCTGTGCTGTTGGTTCCTGAGGAGCCCGTGGCTGGAGATCACGGGTTTTGGAGACATGGCTTCGCCGCCCTGGCCTCACCTGGCTTTGGAGACAGGCCTGCCGATTTTAACTGGGTGTGCATTGGGCGAGGGCTGCAGGCTCCAGGATGATCCCGCTGCTTCCGTCTGAGCGGGAGAGAGAGACGGAACGGATAGACTGCGCTGAACAGGACGCTATGGGGCAGAAACTGCCCACTGATAGGCTCAATTCCTGGCATGTGAATGGTACTCAAAAAACACCTGTGACACAGACTAGTGATTCAGCTTTTAAAGATGCTCTTTAGCCTGGCCAGCGTGGCTCAGTGGTTGAGCACTGGCCTAGGAACCAGGAGCTCACAGTTCAAATCAGGGCACCTGCCTGGGCTGTGGGCTCGATCCCCAGTGAGGGGCGAGCAGGAGGCAGCTGATCAGTGATTCGCTCTCATCAGTGATGATTCTAGCTCTCTTTTTCTTCCTTCTCTGGAAAAAAAAGTGCTCTTTAAATCTCTATCTTGATAGGAGCTGCTTACCCCCGTGTGGAGGCTGCCAGATTGTGGCAGAGACTGAGCCTCTCCCCTCCGGCCCCTGGGCCCTGTGCCTGACTGACTGTGAACAGTGCTCCACTGGCTAATCTGGTTAAAGCCATCCCTGGTGCTCACACGCCAGGCATTCTATGTAAAACTGGCCAATTGATGGTGCTGTGTACAAACGATGGGGCCACCTCTTGTTTAGCTCCTGGAGGACCCTAGACAGCAGTGCCCTGCCTTCGGGCTGGAGAAAGCCATGCTGAGCTCATTCCTGTAACAACATTTGTGCACTGATCTGATGATTGATTGAGGGAAAGGCAGACTTGCAGTGCTTATCAGGTAGAAGTGGTGGCTGGTGGGCCAGTTAAGTGAATAAATGGACTCAGCCAGAGGCACAGATGGGCTGAAGGGCGTGTTCCTGGGAGCACCTTCGCTGACTTGTTTTAACGTCGCGGGTCATGATGTAAGTGCCCAACAGAGAAAA